GTTAGGGGGTTGTCTACCCATTTTTGCTTCTTAACTTATTAAGCTTTTGTGCCATCTTTTAACCACTTCCAAAATAACTTTTTTGGGCCTTTTATTCACTAAATTTCAGAGTAATTTTAGTGGTAAAAACCTTGTTTTGAAGTTCAAAATTGGAGGGGTTAGCCTCCCCTCCTTGTGTCTTGTTTGCATGCCTAGATAGCTTTATGTTTTAGCCTATTAATCTAGCTTGTTTTAGCTCAAGTCCAGCATGTTTCTGCCTCTGTTTTGGCCTGCTTTAGCTCTGTTTTGGGCTGTTTAAGTTATTTGAGCCTTGCATGGCATGGTTCTAGTGTTAATCCTTGCACTAGCTTAGTGTTTTTAATGCTTTGATCATCATTGTTTTGAGTCCATAACATGTTTTAGTGTTGTTTTGCACTTCATCTCAGCACTTAAAATCTCTACAACCTCCCTCTCTGCTTCATTCTTTAATTTGCTTTTAAGAGTTGTTTCAAACTTCGAATCTTTTAAGCTTAAGATTGAGGTTATGCTTAATGGTTTAATCCTCTTTGAGGGTTTATTACCAACGACATGATCTCTCTCATGCCTTAAATTACCCCTTGGTTGACACATCTTTCCATTAGAGGACACTCACTTTTGGACTCAATCGATTAAAGAATGAATCGGTAACTAAAATGAGTAAACAAAAAATGGCAAGTAAAAGAGGCAAGATAAGCATCTTTTATGTTGCATTGCATGTGTTCAAATCTGACGTTAATTCGAACACGAGGAAAATGGGACATTTCATACTCAAAAGTGATGTAATGTGCCATTTTCCGTGGTCTTCATTGCCCTTGATCATGCATGATAAGGTGGTGGTCATTCGAGTCTTGTTTGTGCATTTATTAAAATTGTACAACTTGAATCTTTGGCCATCATGCAATGAAATTGTTTGATTGGTGGTTTTGGATCCAAGTATGCCACTCCTTTGAGGTTTTGAGATGATAAAGAGAGGTACAGTACAAATAAACTCTTGGAAAGCCCTTTCTTTTTGCTCTGTTTGTGCTCTGTTGTAGTATGTTGACTCAGAGCATCAGTGGCCGGCAAGGCTTCATTTCTAGCCTACAGTACACCCTTTTAGCCGACAGATGGCCGGCAATAGCCATCCATGGCCGGCAGGCCACTGACGCAATCCTTAGCAGAGATTTGGTAAGTTGGAGCAGAAAGATTCTAAAGTGTACTCAACCCTGCAGACAAAGCTTCTCGAGAGCAAAACAGAGGGTTTTTCAAGGCGAAAATCGAGTGCATGCATCTTCCATTTCCCGGGGCGAAGCAGTGGCAGTATGATATAACGCCTTGCATGCTTAGTTAGTGTACATTCGTTTTAATTATTTAGTTTGTTAATTAGCTAAGTGTTGTAATAATTAGTAATTAGTTCGCTAGTTATTCATTTGATTTGTAATAATTAGTTTAATTAGCTTATCTTAGTGTAGCTTAACTTATTTATTCGGACCCTCCTTCGTGAGGGCGTAATGTTGTAAGAAGTATGCGTGCGTGTGTATATGTCTTCCAACCCCACGTCTTTCTTCCTTTTATTTAATCACTTCGATGATTAGATTAGGGACATGTTTTGATTAGCATACCTTATGCTCGCATGCTTGTATCCATTCGTTTGTATTGCATGCACCGACGCTCGGCTCATCATTCAAACTGCATTGCAATTTCAATATCTTCTTTGAATATGTGTTCACATGTTGTTCAAATCAATTCATATGACATATTAATAGCCAAGCCTATTAATTGCATATTGCATGTGTTGCATTAGACACTTAACATAGTTAGGATCACGCATCTTTCTAACTAGTTCCTGTTTTGGCTTGGAATACTCGATAAATCTTTATGCTATAGTATACTTGTATGAGTGTGATTGCCATGTTGTCATGATTCGCATGCTTGCCATGAGGCTATGTGCTTAAATGCTAAACTGCATGAATGCCTGTGGATGAAGGCTTATTGTTTGAATTGGAACGATTCAACGAATGTGCATTTTAAGCCCACTTTGTTAAGTGGAAAATCATGTTTTAAGCCCACTATGTTTGGTGGCAAATCCACAAACTTTAAGCCCACTTGAGGGTGGAAAATTAAAACCATCTTTGAAAACAAACTTGATTTGAGTTATTCCAAGTCTTGCGATTAGTCTATACTTGCTTGTGTGCGTCACATAGTGAAGCTAGGTTAATAACCAGAACAAGAACACATAATGTTTATAAAAGAACATATCATGATTAGTAAAGACCGATCTTTGATCAGGCGAACTAGGGTGGTCATTTCAGGACCTTCCCCTCTCGTACCCAAGTTCCCGAGCCAACGCAACTTTGGTGATGATGGACACGTGGCCTTTGGCACGAGTCAGGGTTTCCTAAATTTCTCAAAAACAGAATATTTAGGTGTCGACTCTGTATCTGGGAAAGCAATCCAATTTTGGCATTGTTTGATTTAAAATCGATTTTTCAAAAAGATTTGTTGGATTTTGACTCTTCGGTAATTATTAGTTTCACATTGCACTTGTGGGACTAGATTCAGAACTGCGGGAGTCTGAACTATAAGGCCTTCTTTTCAAACACTTTTTGAAAGGCGGAGGCGTGGAAAAAGGCGAATCCACACAAGGTCTAAAGGCTCAAAGAGAGGGCATTTCGTCGAGGAACTCGGGTACTCAAAACGAACACATGCAACCATAATCATCAAATGCACAAATGATGACGTCCAAGTCCTGAGGACGGTCAAAAATGGGGTGTCTACAGTTGCCCCTCTTTGACAGAACTCGGAAGTCATGAAATGACGGGAGTGAATGTCAAAGCCCAGAGACGACTCATTTTGACAAGGCTGAAAACTTGGACAAACAAACAAGCAAGACAAAAACGATTGCGCTCGCAGGCTGCCTACGTATCCCTTTGCAAGGAATGAAACCAGCGTAGTTTTAGGGCAAGATGCAAGTGATATGCATGATGCAGGAACATAACTTATGATCATGCAATGAGGTTGTAATGAAATATTTAAATGCAAACGGTATGCAATGAAAAAGCCACATTCAAACAAACCGAAACAATGTGTAAACACCCCATTTTTGACCAACCTCAAGACTTGGACATCATCGTTTGAACACTCGATGATCATCTATGATCGTGTTCGTTTTGAGCGCCTGAAGTTCTTGGCGGATCGCCTTGCCTTCGAACCTCTCAACTTGTTTGTTTTGTACTTGGTTGTGGACCAAGGGCTTGTAGCTTTGCTTCTGGGGAAGAGGGTGACCTATCGGCCAACCCTATGACTCATCGGCCAGGGATTGTTTCCATTGGCCATTAGTGGTGGCCGGTGGGCCTCATTGATGGCCGGTCGGCCACCAATAATGACCGGCGTCCATTTTTCTGCTTTTTCAGATATTTTGTGTGCCAGCTGTTGGTCACTGAAGCCATCCTCCATACACGTGTATGGAGGGATGGAAACAAGCTTTTAGCTTGTTTTCCTATATAAGGGGAGGTCCCTTCCCCTTTTAGAGGGTTCTGAAATTTTGGAAGCAAAATTTTACTCTCTCTCTCTCTATATATATATATATATATATATATTGTGCTATATTGTGCTTGAAAGTGAGCTTTCTTTGCATTTTTACACACAACATCCTAGCCAAACACCCCCACCTTGGAGCTGAGGTACTTGAAGGTTTTGTTTAGGCTCAAAAAGATGGTTTTAGCTCAGAGTTGTAGTCCTTTGCTGCTGTGCTTCAAGGGTAAGGCACTTACCCCTTTTAAGTTTGTTTTTGTACATTGGTTTGGCCACCCTTGTATGATGTTTTTGGCCTAGTTGTCAACTGCAAAAACCTCTATTTTCAAGTGTTGAAAATGGTAGTTTGAGGCCCTTTTGAGGTTCGGGGTGTTCCCCCCTTTTTTTATGGTTTATTTGCTAAACTTTGAGCCATCTTTCAAAGCCTTTAAAACAATTATTTTTTGGCCTTTTAACCACTGATTCCAGGGGAATTTCAGTGGCAGAAATGTGGTTTTGAGGTCCCAAATGGAGGGGGTGGTCCCCCCTCCTCATGTCTTGTTTGCATGTGTTGATGGCCTACTAGTTGAGCATGTTTTTCTACCATCTCATGGCCTGATCTAAGCATGTTTTTGGCCTTGTTTCAACATGTTATAACTTTGTTTTGGGCTAGTTGGAGCACCTCTTGTTTGCTTCTTACACTTGTAGTGTAATCATGCTTACTAGCTTAACTTGCTTAATGAGTGAGCCTATCATTTTAGCTTGTGTTAGCTCCATCTCAGCATGTTTTTGACCATGTTTTGTCATGCTTTAATTCTTTTTTGAGTGGTCTTGGTCATATGGTTCATGTTTTGCATAGCTATAGTGCAAGGCCCTTGACTAGCTTTGTGATTTGAGGCTCCTAACATGTTTTGCTTGGGTTGTTTGCATGCCATAGTATCATTTAGCATGTAATTTCAATGCATATATCACTGTCATACTCGCACGTATATCGCTCTTTAATTGCTTTTGAGAGTTGTGCCTTATGCTTTGCTTGCGAGCCACCATGTGCGCATGATCTTTTATTCTTTTGTGCCTTAATTCCAACATGTTTAGGCCATTGATTTGGCATGTTTTAGGACTGTTTTGGACTGTTGGTCCCTTTTGAGCTTTGTATTGCATGTCTCTAGTGTTGTGTCCTTCACTAGTTTCAATACTTTGGCCCCTACACTACAACAAAAAAGGGTTTTTACGACGCGCAATGTACGCCGTAAAAACCCTTCTACGACGTGCAACGCACGTCATATTATGACCAGTCATGGAAAGTCATTCACTTTCAACGACATGCTTCATACGCCGTAAAATATGTAATACAACAACTTATTATACCTGCCGTAGAATATGCAAATTTTTTTTTAATTTTTAAATTCAGCAAGTTCTATTTAACTAATTTTGTACAATCTAACAAATATTACAAACAAGCATCACAAAACATCAATTAACCACCAAAATATTGTTTGAAACATCAAAAAGAAACTATATCCATAAATTATAAACATTCAACAATTGTCTATATATTCCAAATATTAGATCCTTAAGTTCTAAATTATACAAAAAATTTAAACCATCCAAAAGAACAACAAGACAAACCACGACTCTGCTTCATTTCATCACGCATAAGATAGACCTCTTCAACTCGACCATAAGGTGAAAAAATCTGACAAAGGAAGAATCAGTTGTCAGCAATAAACTTTAATTAGTTTGAGCAAAGTAGATTATAATAAATGTAACACATTTATGTGCACATGCATGCACACAGTATGAGTGACAAAAAGTGTGTGAAGAATAAGCTGAAGTTTCTTAATGTTTAGGCCACCGAGGAGGGTAGGGAATTTAAAGGGAGAGGGATGGCAAGATGAGAACTATTATGCTAATGTTACAAAAAGATAGGCATAACTAAAGCAAACATGTGAATACAAGGTAAACATACTTCCTCAACTTCCTTTCTGTAGCTTGTTTGTTCAATGCGCCGACAAACAACTTGTACTCAACTGCACCTAAAATAAAGAGAAATAGGTAAGGAATGGATAAAAACACATATGCATCAAATAGAAAAGAACAACCCATAACCAAAGTCTCTGTTATGACCTTGTAGGCATGTCTTCTCATAGCTTCACTTTGAACACCCAACTTTCATGATAGGTCATTCAAAGAGACAAGATTTAAATTAAACACTACTATAAAAATTCCTAGTGGAGAAATAATTAAATATAATAATTCCTCATGCACTAGCTGAACATCCTTTAAAGCAACTCCAACTAAATAATTGACAGGAAAACTTACAAAGGTATGATACGCTACAGTTCAATTAATATATATGTTTGACAAAGAAAAACTTGATACATCTACATGGAAAATAAAAAGAGAGAAAATTCACTCTCAAATTACAAATATGTAAACATACTTGGGGAAAGAAGGTTTTAGAAAGACGTTTTGTTTTCCCATCAGCATATATTGCTTGGACAAGGTATGATATGCCATAGTTCAAATAATATATATGTTTGATGAAAAACTTAATATATCTTCAAGTAAAAAATAAGGAGAAAAAAAACACTCAAACTACAAATATGTAAACATACTGGGGAAAGAAAGTATCATTAGCAGAAGACACAGAAAGTCATAATTTATTACCCAGACGTTCCCTTTCCCCATTAGCATATCTTTACTTGGATAGGACCCACTCCCTGAAAAACACAAGAATGATCAAACTATTAAACAAAAGCTATCATGACAAAACATGCATAGCAGCAAAAGACCAAGGTTGTTAAGATCGCGATCCGGATCGTAGGATCGTACGATCCTGCGATCCAATATATACCATTCGATCCGAATCGTATTCTGGATCATGCCGATGACAGGATCGCGGCAGGATCGTCGAAGGATCGTTAAGATCGACAGGATCGTATCAGGATCGCGATTCCATGCGATCCTGATTAATAGGGTTTTTTTTCGTAACTTCAAGTCAAACAAGCCTTTGTCGGGATAAAAGAAGAAAAAAAATTGATCCTCTATGCTGCGATTAGGGCAAGAAATAGAGGAAAGAGAAATTGGACATCAAAGCTTTAGATTTTGTGTAACCTAGTATGCATCTTCTTCAAATCTTCCTTCTCTATTTTTTTTTTTTTTTTGCTTTTTTCTATCTTCTTCTTCGTTTCTTCTTCTTCATTGCTGCTGGTCTTCTTCTTCGTTACTCTTCCTTTTCTTTTTCTTCACTGCTCTTCTTTGAATCTTCCTCGTATGTGTTCGATTCTTCGAATCTTCCTCGTATGTAGTTCGAATCACCATTTTTTCTTCTCCCGACTTCTTTTTTCCTCCTCTTCTCCCATCTCTGTAGTTGTATTGTCTGTTTCTGAGTATTATATATATATATATATATATATATATATTTGCTTGAATGATATATATATATATATATATATATAATAGCTTGAATGATTGGGTTGTCCTGATCAAAGAGAGAGAGACTGAAAACAGAACTTAAGTTTAAAATATTAACAAAAAATAAAAAAAAAATTCTAAAAATTAAAAAATAATTTTTAATTTAAAAAATTTTAAAAAAATTTTAAAATTAAAAAAATTCGAAATTTTCAAAAAATTATATATATATATTTTTAAATATTAAAAAAAATAATTTCAAAAAATTTCAATATTCATAACCAAACAAATTTTTTTTTTCAAAACTCAACTTACAACTCCACACTTAAATCACAACTCTGCACTCAAATCATGATTTTAAAACTAAATTAAACGGAGTCTTATTTTTTTTTTTCTGTTTCTTCATTTTTCTTACTTCTTTTTTCTTCTTCATTTTTTTTGGTTCTTTTTTGTTGTTGATGCGGTTCTTCTTTGGTTCTTTTTCCCTGAACATTGCTGAAAAATTTCTTTTAATTTTCACAATTTGCAGCACACAATTAGCATAGTAGCATCACAACACAATGTCAACCTCTGGTTCAGGAAAAGGGAGGCAAAGGAAAAATGTTGCTGGAGAAAAAATTTCTTTTATAATGTTTTTGACTTCTTTTATTGAGAAAAAATGCTTGAATGCTACTTGAATTGCAATATTTCTTTTTTGGGGGGGTCATTCTATATACATTTTGATAGTATTACTTAGCCATATAAAAAGTATTGCCTTTTTTTATCATTTTGGAGGATCTTACGATCCTCGATCCGATCCTACGATCCGATCCGATAGACCCCCAAAATGATCCTATGTAGGATCCCAATCTTAACAACCTTGCAAAAGACCTCACCCCAGGCAAAGTGTGTTGGTTGTGTAAAGCACTCATTGCCCTGTCAGCTTCTTCAGAAGTAGTGTATTTTACAAAACAACATACTGCAGAAGTAAAAAGTTCGTACCCTGATTTCATTTACTTCTACCTTTTCTAGTGAGAGATAAGTAGATGCAAACGCACGTACCAGTTGACTATGCTTATGTGATAAAAAGATACATAAAAATTATTGGACAGTAAACATCAAGAAAAGTAATACTGACACTACATCAAGGATTACATATCAAAATTCACAAATCCAAGACATATCAAGTCAAATTGTTTGAAAACAGCAGCGCCGTGTTGCTATCATTAAATAAGATATATATAGTTTTTTTTTTTGAAAAAAAAAACACACCGAAACTTCTGGATAGACATAAACAACAACCAAAATTAATGTGCAAGAGCTACATATTGCTGCAGTGAAAGATATGACCAAGGCGTTAGGCCGAATCACGTATTTCTGTGTTCTCTGTGTTTGATTTATTTTATTTACTGTTTTGTGGATTTGGAACATTCAATTATCACATAAGAACTCAAAAGACACACAAATGGCATGATATTCGCAAACAGGCGGCACCACACATGTGAGAAGGTATTCATTCAACTTTTTTCTTTTTCATACATTTAATGGATGTATTTTCTATATTTTTCATCCTTCAAAATTTTTTTGAATACATTGAGTTGCTTGGATTATCAATTGTCACCTTTGAAAAAAAAAATCAACATCTTGAGCTGATTAGAATGCCATTTTTATCCCTCAAAAAAATAATTGAACACCTTAGTTGTCGATGTGAGCTCATAACACCAAATATTGAATACCCTTTTTATTTTTATGTGCAGTCAACCCTACTCAAAGTTTAGAATAAATTAGAGTGGGTACTTAAAAAATTGACAAAGCAATTATGATAGTATCATCTCAAATGCAAATCCCATTTAACAGATTGCTCATTTTGAGATTTTGGGTCATCTGATTTAGGATTTTTGGAATAAAAGATCCTATAAAATAAAATAAAAAATTGAAGGAAAGTTCAAAAAAAATGTTTGTAGACAATACAGAGCACCCATTTTGGTTCCATTAACAGAAGATATCACAATTTATATAATTCAAAAATTGCAAAAAAAAATTAAAAAAAAAACTAAAGTAGAGAGAGAAAGAGAGAGAGAGAGAGAGAAAGAGAGAGAGAGAGAGAGGCTCACAAGAAAGGAAACTAGCAGAAAGTCTCCACTCCAAGGCATTCAATCAGAGACGACCGCACAGACCCGAAGTAAAGCAATAAGGTGAGCCTGCACAAGCTTCACCATTAACACGAAACAAGTAGGCCTTATTGATTGACCCAAAATCTACAAATGGGGTCCCTGCACCTAGTGAAACATAAGTGACATGAACTACACATTATATCACCGAAGGGCCAAAATAAACCTAAGAAAAGTATTCAAAATAACCTCCATTATAAAACAAACATATGTGAACCCTATGTCGAGATTAAAATGCATTAGAAAGCACCAAAATGTATGGTTGATAGCTAAAACAAAATCAAGTTATTAATGAATGTCAATAAACTAAATTTTACTAATAAAAGGGGCCTTAAAATCATGTGGTGTGATTTATAACAAGAAACAAGCTCATATTTCATCAAATTCATGTCAATGCAAACACCTGCATGAGGTGATAATGTATGACCCGCGAGTGATGTGGCTCCACCATAAGGTACAATAGGGACCTGCTCATCAAATTAAACCAGAAAATAAATTATAAAAAAATAAAAGAAAAGTTCAAATAAATAAGCCAGTTGTCAAAATTATTTATAGTGAATATGTATATGTCAAGTAAAAAACAAGCATTATGTTTGGTTCTTTTCTGCATTTCAAATTTGGATTTTCATGCCTAATGAATGGATACAAATAATTATCAATTTGAACAATCCAATAGCCCAAAACTCAAATGCGTAAAAGAAGAGTTACCCATTCACATTATATATTAGCAACTGAAAAACAATAAGAAACAATTGAAAGAAAAAGAGAAAAATCAGAAAACCCTCAAAAGCAAGGAGCTCAGACCTCATACTTGTTACAAGATTTGACTATCTGGGACACTTCCTCTGCATTCTTGCATGCACAAACTACAGTTAAGGTGCATTTTGGAGAGAAAACTAGGATACACTACACAATGTACTACTGAGCAGACCACAAAAAAATGGAGAAAAGGACTACTAAAAAATAGCTTGATTAACCATCTTTACAATAGACGGTCTTATCCCGTATCTCATATTTGTGATAACAACCAAACTAACACCAAGGACTGCATGTGTTATTTCAAGTTAGATGAAAATTCTATGAATATCATGAAATGTTGAAGTAATAGCTTATGAATCAATAATGAACAAATTCAACACACAAGTCAAGTCTATGTCCACTATCAATAGCTAAAATAGGAACTGCATCGTACATAGATTTTCTCAAGAGTAGATGAAAACAGAAGCAACATATCAATTATGAGCATTCAGTGAACAAATAAAATGTCCCGTTTCTTTTGAATGCATGAGCTCATGGTGTAAACTGGGACCAACACAACAAAAATGGAAAATAACGAAAATAAATACAAGTGCCAAATTATAAAAATAAACAAAATTATAGTTTCCAAGTTAAAAAAAAGCCCAATCTCACCTTGGAAAAACTGCCACATCAGGGATATTCACTGCTTTGTGGAAGCTATTTTGTGGTTTCCCATGGAAGTACCTCTCATCAAAATCCATTGTCATATTATCCTGCATAATGAAATGTGTCCATTCCCAACAGAATATTAAACATCTACTAAAACACTTTATATTTCAATTCAAAAGTAATGATAATAATAAAAATACTCAATGCTATTTTGATTGCTGAGGATTGTAGAAAATTACGAGAATAATCATTTGTGAAGTAAATATGGCAAATTCTCAATAGAATATGACAAAGTAAACACACAATTCATCATTAGATTTACAAATCATCCACGAAAATCAAAACCCTTGTAACTAGCTTCCTTACATTTCATCAATTGAGATGAAGAATGAAGCTGAGAATAAATCACGGTTGTGCAGCCAAGAATTTCAACACTAGGAAATTTCTGAACAAGGGCATTCTTCTAAGCCATCTTCCTTAGGAGGACTGGGATCAACTTAACAAATCTGACCAAATTTTTCAAAAGTAATTCATACCACAATGTTAGATTAAAAAACAAAACTAGAAAAATGGAGAAAGATAAGTGAAATTCATCAACAACACATGCTTGAACTCAATAATGACAATAATAAATAAATAAATAATGAAAACCGAACTTTGTAGCAGTATTTTCAAATTACAAGAAGAAGAAGAAGAAGAAGAAGAAGAAGAAGAAGAAATGTCAAAACTAACCTGTTAGGGCTGCAAGTCGAAGCTATTTTGAAGAAGAAGAAGAATCGAAGCTCTGTTCAAGAATAAGAGTCGCAACTTCTGTTTACCCTAAACCGATTGATGTCGAACAACTTTAGCTATGCAAGAAAAACATAGATAGATATTATAGCTTCAAAGATTCATTCACCCAAAAAAAAAGAGCTTCAAAGATTTTGAAAATAGCTTTCAACGTGTTGAGGCGTTGGCTTCAATCGCCTTATGCCTCATCACGAATTACCTCAAATTTGGACAAAGAGACTGAGAAGAGGGACTGAGATACAAAGATGATGTAATTACATACTGATAGAGGAAGAAAAGGAGGCCGAATAGAAGTAATAGTAGCCGACGGAAGCACTGGTCGCCGACCAACTTCGTTGATGATGGAGAAATGGTTATGCTATTCTCCATATGTGTCTCTTTATTTTTATTTCTTTTAAGGGCAAATTACATATACCTCTATTGAGGTTTGGCTAATTATAGATATTCTGGAGGCATCGAAATTACATCCCCACTCTTTAAGATTTGTATTTTTATAACAATTTATCTTTTGAGGTCTAAATTTCATAACAAATTACTCACCTAATTCTGTTATGCAAATATAAATTCAGGGAGAAAATTTGTAATTTCTCAAATCTCAAAGATTTATTTATAATTATAGTCAAACCTCGAGGGGTATATTAATTTTCCACTTCTTTTAATTTTGATAGTGCTGGTGCTGTTTGGATTTTTTCTTTTTTTTTTTTTTTTTTTTTGTTAGTTTGCCACTAATTTTTCATTTTTACCGCGCTCAAAAATTTTTATTTTGGCACTATTTATTATTATTAATTATTATTATTTTCTTTGATCATACCTTTCATGACAGCAATTGCGTGTCGTGGAAGTTAAATATTTAAACGTTTGGCTTTCTGTACGTCGTGGAAATGTAATTTTTAATGACGTGACTTTTTGTGCGTTGTGAAATGTTCAATATTTTTTAAAAGCTTTCGTACGCCGTGTCGTGTATAGTTGAATATTAATGACAATCCATATGTACGCTCATAAAAAAGTTTTAACTTATTTACGGCTACATTGCAAAGGCCAGTAAGATATAAGTATCGTTATTAGAATACGACTAAGCAAAAGAAGATTTGGTTGGAGACATTATATACGACATGCAAAAAAAATAGTCATAAAGTAGAGAAACGCACGGCTTGCCATTTACTGTATTCGTTTGATCGTGAAAGCGAAAAAACTCAGTTTGTTGTAGTGCTAACATGTGTGCATGTGGTTGGCTTGCATGTTGTAGCATTACTTGTATGCCATTTCAGCACTGAATATCTGCCACTCCCTCATTTCTTCATTTTTCCTTTTGCTTTGAGGCTTGTTGGCCTAAGTTTGTGTTTAAGCATGAGGTACGGGTTTGTGCTCAAATGGCTTTAACCCTCTTTGAGAGTTACCTCTAGTGCAAAGAACATGTCTCCTCTTCATGTCCTATACCCCCTTTTGTTGACCCTCTCATTCAAGAGGACTTTCGCATTGGAGTATACTGGTTAAAGGAATGGCTTGGTAATGAAATGTGTAAACAATATTGGCAAGATAAACATAACAAGATAGCATTGTAGTTGCATTGCATGTGTTTTAATCGGACAAAAAAGCATAACAAACACAAGAAAAGAGGACGTTTCATATACAAGTAGAATATATAGTTCAATATTCTCGGATCGCGCGACACTACTTGAATCATGCATGATAGGTGTTGACGGCCTTTTGAGTCTTACTTGTGCATTCACTAGCTTGTACAAGCTTGGTTCTTTGGCCACATGCATTGAAAATGCTTGGTTGAATGGCTTGAGAGCCAATACACACTTCCTTTGAGCTTAGAGACGTGATGGGAGGGTGGCAGTGCACCACATTTCTTGCAAAATGACACTGCTATGGCCTCTGTTTGCTCTCTGTTTACAGCAAAAGAAGGAATTTTAGGGGAAGTGGCTGACCAGCCACATGTCCTAGCCCGACCGACACCAAGCTAGCAACCGGCCATCAAGTAGTGGTTCGATGGCCTCATTTCTAAGCCGATCAAGCCATCAGTCTGGTCTTAGAGATCACCAAATAGAAGCAATCTGGAGGTTTGCACAATTTTCAGTAGGTCCAAAGATGTGCAAACAGAAGGCATTTAGAGGCAAGGTAGTAGATTTTCGGGGCGAAGCCAACCGAGCTGCATTGCCTTCTCGCATCGCGAGGCGTTTTAACTGGCTTTAGCTAGCTAGTTGTAGTTAATTAATGTTTGTAATAATTAGTTTAATTACTCTGTATTGTAATAATTTTATTAGCTTAGCAATAGGTAGTTATTCAATCGGTTTTGTAAAATTAATTAAGCTTAGATAGTTAATTAGTTGATTAGCTTAATTAGCGTAGCTAGCTAGCTTATTTATTCGGACCCTCCTTCGCGGGGAGCACCAATGTTGTAATAAGTGTGCGTGTGCGTGTGTGTGTGCTGTCTTCAAACCAACCGACGTCTTTCTCCCTTTTTACTTATCTCTTTCAATGGTTAGTTTTAGGGTAACGTTTTTGAATTAGCATACCCTTATTCTTGCGAGTTTGCATCATTCATTTGTCTTGCATGCACCAGGCTCGGCGGCATCAATTCAAACCGCATCGTATTTCAAACCTATTGAATATGTTGTATCATTGTGCATTCATATGCCATCTTAGATAGCCCGAGCCTATTTAGTTGCATTATTGTCATGTGTTTGCATTAGCATTCCGTTAGTTAGGATCATGCATGATTAGCTAACTAGCATTGTTTGGCTTGGACAGTACACTATGATGTTTACACTTTAAGCATACTTGCATGAGTGTTGAGTGCTGCCATGATACCATGATTCCATGAGGCTATTTGCTTAGTATTAACTGCAGAATGCCTGTGGGTGAAAGCTTGACTGCCATGAGCATTGGAACAACTCGATGATTGTAGTTTAAGCCCACTTTGCGAAATGGAAAAATCATCATGTTTAAGCCGCTTGAGGGCGGCAAATCCGCGCTTTGGCCTACTTGTGAGTAGCACTTCAACCTTTTCGAAAACAAACATGAGTTGTTTTGGTTCCAATTCTTCCGTGATTGAGTCTATACTTGTATGTTGGCGCTCACATAGTAAGCTAGATTAAAACCTGGAATAAGAACAACATGAGGTTTTATAAAACAACATATCAATCTTAGTAGAGGCCCGATCCTTTTGATCGGGTGAGCGGGAGGCTCATTTTCAGGCCCTTCACCTCTCCGTACCCAAGTTCCCGAGCTGAGACAACTTTGGTGATGACGGACACTGGGCCTTTGGCATAGTCAGGGTTTTCCTAAATGTCCTAAAAACAAAAATTATAGTATGTGGGAATCTGTAATCTGACAAAGCAGTCCAATGTTGGCTCCCTTTTTTCATTCAAAATCGATTTTCCAAAAAACATTGCCCATAAGATTTGGACTCTTTTGGTGTTTTTATCAGCCTCACATTTGCAAACTTTGTGCAGATTAAAGATTCAGAACCGTGACCAGGAGTCCGAAACTGTAGTAAGACCAATTCAAGCCTCTCCGAAAGGGGCGTGTCGAAGGAAGTCCAGGTCTACAACAAGGTATAGCAACCTCAACAACACAAAGTAAGTAAACACGCCACACGTGGAAATTAACGAACTAAACGCATTCATGATGCAGAAAGTGATGTACGAAAATGTATGCAAACTCAAAACACGTAACACATAAAGAAAGCCGAAGAGCACCGTCAGGGCGCACCTACCGAGGTCTTCAACCGAGAATCCTAATGTGTTACACACAGAATGAAAGGGTGGTTGTGAACACTGGGACAGCACTCGATGTGTTTAACCAAAAGGAGCTGTAAACACCGAGACGAACTCGAATATTTTTAACCAAAAAGAAGTGGTGTAAACAACCGAGACGCACACCGATATGTTTTTAACCAGCGGAGTGGTGTAAAACCGAGACGCACCTGAAATGTTTTAAACCAAAGAAAGTGGTGTAAACACCGGGAACGACACCTGAATGTTTTTTAACAAAAGGAAGTGGTCGTAAACATCGGGCCACCCGATTTGCTTTTAACCAAAGGAAGTGGTGTAAACAATGGGATGCTCCTGAATGTTTTTTACCAAAAAGGTGAATGGTGTAAACACATCGGGACGCCCCGAATTGTTTTAAACCAAAGAGAGTATCTAAGTGGTCTCACGTGCGAGGAGAAGGAGTAAAATCGATGTGATTCTCGATCAGGACACGAATGACTTTCACCCGAAACCCCTCTGAACGGACTCGTACACTCAATATCGTGCCTTGCATAAGAAAAACTCACAAGTAACCATCATTAAGGGTGCATGTTTCTTACACAATTACAAGATGGTAAGGCATTTCTATGCAAAAGTATTGAATGCAATGTTTCTATGCTAAGTACAAATTGCATGTTCCATGTCAAATAACAAAATGCATGTTCTATGCAAGTACAAAATGCATGTTCCATGCTAAATAACAAAATCATTTTCTATGCAAAGTATAAATTTAGCATGCTCCATGCGCAATTAACAGCATGTTTCATGCTAAATAACAAAATGCATGTTCTAATGCGCAATTGAAAAT